CATTTTTCTCTGCAGAAACCCAGAGGGATGGAAGCAGACCCTTCCCCGGCCCCAGCCACCTCCCGCAGCCGGGCAGTGCGGCCCCCGGCTCCCTCTGGGACCCCCAGTAGGACCGCGCCACGGTGGACACGCACGGCGAAGCAGCAGTCGCGCCAGGCGGATTTATTCAACCAGGGCTCGCCGTTCGGTAGCATCCCTTTTTCGTTTGGAAGAAATAACCCGCCAAAAGACCTTGGGGAGCCCTGGGGACCCGCAGATCCCAAGGTCCCAGCCGCCTGCGATGGGAACCGGGAGATTAGCACAAGTTCTCCCAAGGAAACCCTAATAGGCTATTTCTGGACTACTGGCTCTTAACAAATCTATAGCACCTGAAGTGTTAGCACTCAATTAGTGACAAGGTTTCAAACCCGGGCGTTTACTGGTGAGGTATAAACAGAGTCCTCGGGAGATAGCCGGGAATTAGAGCGGGTGGGGGCCCTGGACATCTTAACCGACTGGGATTAAGAGGAAAACTTTTTTAAAAGGCCCCATCTCTCTCTCTCTAAACAGTCAGAGGTGTCGAAAGCTCTGGGGGAGAGAGGATGTACTCTCCGGAGCTAATTGCGGGGTTAGGGCTTTTTTTGTTGTTGTTTTTTTTCAGCAAGATAACTTAAAAAAAAAGGAAGAAAAAGGGGAGGAGAAAAAAAAAGAAAGAAAGAAAAAAGAATCGCATTTAGCAGTCCCAGAGAGAAGCAACAAGCGGGTGTAGCAGACAACCTGTACCCGCGAGGGGCTTTTCTGGGCGTGGGGGCCAGGCTCAGCCCCGAGGGGCAGCGAGAGCAACCTGTAAACCGTGTGAAGGTGGAGGGTGGGAAGTAGGGCACCCCCCTGCTTTCCCCTGGCACCCAGGAAAACAGCAGCCGGCTTTGCTCACGCCCACGGGGCCTGAGTGGGCCGGAGAAGGCGTCTGAGGGTGCTCCTCCGCTGTCCTGTCTCCCTTTATTCCTTTTTTCATGTTATTTAAATGCGATTCTCATTTTGCACCCACCGGTCTGCAATCAAAAGCGAGCCCTCGAAGGGCAAAAGCGGTGTGGGGGAGCTCGGGGTGATGGCCCCCCCTGCTCCCCCGGGTTAGGCAGGACCCGAGAGCTGCAGGCAGGGTCCGGAGCTGGGTGACTCAGTCGCCTTTGTCCCCTCTGCTCGGCTGCCCTCGGCCAAGACGCCGTCTGTGGTGGGAGCCGGGCTTCAGCGGGCTGCTGGGGAGCACCGAGGAAGGGAGAGAGCGCGGGGGGTGGGGAGGGGGAATGGGTGCTGAGACCCGACCCGGAAAGTCCGTGAGCTGCTGTATGTCAGTAACTTATTCATCAATCAGCCGGACACAGAGCAGACCTGGCCTCTCTTTGCGGAGTGTTTGCTTTTTCACCAATTATTGCGGCCCTGCAGCTCTTTTTGTTGATACAGTAGTTCTAAAAAGTGCTAATGTTCATTTATCAGGGGCCGGGCTCGGGACTCCCACTAGTTGTGATTCTTCCAAAAATATAAACACGAAGAGAAGGGCTAAGGCTAAAGCCCCCATTTGTTTCTAAACTGCAGTATTAAAAGTGATGCATTGTTGAAGATAAAGCGGAGATAACGCTGTCTGTCTCCAATGAATGTCTCCCCGACGCATTAATGACATTCCAAATGATAGCTCCGGCTTATCGTTCAATTAATCACTTCCACCCTCTGCAGCCGGGCCCACATCGATCGGGAGTCGCCGGCTGATCGGGAGTCTGGAGGAAGCCCGTCAATCCCTAGTTAACACCAGTTTGCCGGCCGGCAGCTCTCGCAAAGCCGCCGCCGGGGATGGGACCCCCACCGGCTCGGGGCCACTTTCCCCTCCGGGCTCACCGGGCAGAAGGGGACCCTCGGGGGCAAGCACCGCCTTGCGAGCTCCGGGCCAGGCCTGGGAAGGGCGTTTTGGGCCCGGGATGGAGAAAGGGAGAGCTGGATCACGTTTCTCCCATCCTGAGGGAGGTAGACGCTACCAAGGCAGGCGAACCTGCGGCCGCGGGCCCGGATTTATGGTGTAGGGGGACCTCGGGATCACTTCGTTATTTCAGTGTTAATCTAACCTATCCCGATTAGCTTTCAATGAAAAGGAGGCAATGAGGATAGAAAGACGTCCCCCTCATTAAATAGCAATAATCCGGATCTGGTTGGAGGACACCCCGTGCCCAGGACGCTAACTAAATTCCCCAAAAGGGAACCTGAGGATGCCGAGACACAAAATCTCGGGGGGGCAGCAGCAGGTACGCTCGGGGAGGAGCAGCCCAGAGAGCGCAGCTGCGGGCAGGTGCCCGCGTTTTTACTGCCTCGGAGGTTTCCTCCGTCTGCGGGAGGAGGAAGGATTTGCAAAACTCACCTTGAGACCCTCCCGGCCTTCCCGGGCAAGGCCCGGCCGAAGGACCCCCACTCCTCCCAATTCTTCGCCTCGGGGGGGCAGCAGCAGGTACGCTCGGGGAGGAGCAGCCCAGAGAGCGCAGCTGCGGGCAGGTGCCCGCGTTTTTACTGCCTCGGAGGTTTCCTCCGTCTGCGGGAGGAGGAAGGATTTGCAAAACTCACCTTGAGACCCTCCCGGCCTTCCCGGGCAAGCCCCGGCCGAAGGACCCCCACTCCTCCCAATTCTTCGCTTCTCGGCTCGGCCCTCCGGACCCTGTCTCACCACCCACCGCCTCCGGGCGCGCCGGGGCTCAGAGCCGGTCCGAAGAAGTCGCTAATCTTCTTTTTTGTTTTTCCTCGTCCCGCGAAGCCAGAAAGCACCGTAATGTCCCTCCTCAACCTGCGACTTTGCCGCTAAGGTTTATTTTAGCGACTTTAAGTACGTTAAATTAACGAGCCCCCACCTCTGTCCGGCAAGCCAGGGGCCTGCGGGCCACCCTGCGCCCCCTCCGGTCTGCGGGGACCCGGCCAGCACCGGCGTCGCCCCCGGCTCCCGGCGGTTGCTTTGACTCGCTCCTCTCTCGCCCCCAGCCCGGCTGTGTATTTTGCAACACTTTCAATCCGCGTTTCTTGTAGAGTGTGCTATTTTTTTCCCCTTGTTTGAAAGCTTTACAAACAGGCGGGAGAAAAACCCAGCGGACATTTCCCCTTCCAAAGCCAGGCAAGGGCTGTTTAGGATCTCTCTCCCATCAGCTGGATTTTGCGGGTGTTATGCTGCTTCACAATATCTGTATAAACCTTCAGCATGGATTTCCCCTTGAGCACGCTTCACACACCAGCGAACTCCCGTTTTCTAGTTCCTGCGATCGGATATTGCAGAATAGTAAAAATGAAACCTCCGTTCCCTCGCTTAAAAAAAAAAAATGAAATCAGCACATATTTGGTTGATGGCTTCCTCCCGGCCTGTTTATTTAATCTGACTGTATGATAGATGGCATCAGATAGTGGCTTTGTACACATTAGGCCATTCTGGATTTTTTTTTTTAATGGATCAACAAACTCAGCGGGGAAAAGTTGGATAAATACAGTGCCGCCCCTTTAAATGAGTGGGGATGTTTTTGAGATGTATTACTATATTAGGTGACATGGAACTTTGCATCTCTCATACCATCACTGCAATGTTGGCCAATAGAAAGCTAAAGTCACCCAAAAACTGCCTAGTCCCTCCTTCTCTTCCCTTATGGTCCGGTCCTACCTGCCTCCAGTGCACAAGTCAAGGCTACCCGCGGGACTGCTATGTGCCCCCTCCGTGAGCCCACGCTCCACCACTGCTCCAGGTTGGCTCCTCCTCACCTCCTTTTCCATGACCCTGGGCTCCGGCCGCTGCCTCGCTCTCCCCCGCAATGTTTCCTAGCCCTGTGACAACGACACCCTTCTCGGTCAAGGACATTTTGAACCTGGAACAGCATCAGGGCGGCCTGGCCTCCATGGAGCTCTCCTCGCTGTCCTCCCCCTCCTGCATGCTGGCCACCTTCAAGCAGGAGACGTTCAGCGCCGAGCCCCCGACCCTGCCCGACCTGCGGGAGGAGATGCCCGAGGCCAAACCCACTGCCGCCTTTCCCGGCTCCTTCTACGTTAAAAACTACGTGGAAATGGACTCGGCCAAAGACGCGAAGGCGGACAAGAAAGGTAAAACTGGCGAGGAGCGACGGTGCTGGCCCGGGGTCGCCGGTGGCCTTCGAGCTGAGGAAAAGGGAGGGCAGGGGAAAGGCGAACCCCAGCCCGGCGTCCGAGGGCGGCTTGGGCTCCCCAGGGGCGGCGGGGGACGAGGGGACAGTGCGGGGCTGCGGGCGGGAGGCACTGCGCTCGGCCTCGGGGCCCGTGGGAGGGAGAGTGAAGGCATCTCCGTCCCGTCCCACGTCCCGCGGTGCAGGAGCGGGACAGAGGCACCGCGGGGAGCGTCCCACCGACCCCGGGACATCCTTCCCCCGAGCGGAGCTGGGGCCCCGGCCGCGCTGGCTGCCCAGTGGGACGGGCAAAGCTGCGGGATGCTACGCAAGTTGGGTGATACTCGAGTTCTGAACTCGAGTTGAGCCAGAAATTAAGCGACAAATCTAGTTTTTCATTCACTCGGCGGAGCGTAGGCCATGCGGTCGGGGTGGGATGCGGCATAAAGGCTACAGGGGATAAATCCAGGCTGCGGCACAGACAGTCGCAACTCAAATCAGTGCACGGAGCATCCTTGTTTTCAAACGAACGAACAACAAACAACAAAAAACACCGACTGAAAATTGCTAACGAGGCGCTTAGAGAGCGGGGTAGGGCTGGTCCCGTGGCCGCGGGGACCTGCGGGGCCCCGGCACAGCGAGGTCGAGGAATAGTTCCATTTTTTTTAACACGGTTTCATATTTTTTGCACTTTTTTTTCCCTCCCCCTGTTTCCTTTGCCCGTTTATTTTGCTGCAGAACTCTGTTCCCTGCACAAGAGCCTGGAGCAGGAGAAAAGAGACCTGGAAGATCCCGAGCGGCCCAGACAGAGGAAAAGGAGGAAACCTCGCGTCCTCTTTTCTCAAGCCCAAGTCTACGAACTGGAGAGACGGTTCAAGCAGCAGAAATATCTCTCGGCTCCCGAGAGAGACCATCTAGCCAACGTCCTAAAGCTCACCTCCACTCAGGTGAAAATTTGGTTCCAAAATCGAAGGTATAAATGCAAAAGGCAGAGACAGGATCAGACCTTGGAAATGGTGGGCATCCCCCCTCCCCGGCGGATAGCGGTGCCGGTGCTGGTGCGCGATGGGAAGCCCTGCCTGGGGGAGTCATCTCCCTACAGTTCGCCGTACAATGTCAGCAT